TCCGAATGATGAACTTAAAAGTACAAAAGCTGGAAATTAAATTTATCTACCGAAACAATTTATAATATATATAAACGATTATATGACAAGTGCTTAAGGGGTTCTGCAATCTCTTCATCTAATCTTAACTTAAATGATAAGAAGAAAACAAAGGTTCTTTTTAACTAATCCATTTGATTAATCCAAACATAAATTACAAAATAAGGAAAGACTGGAGATTTCTCTATCCAGTTAGATGATTACATGAATTCAAATTGATCATTTTAGAAGAAAATCATGTCATGAAGATGGCTAAGCAACAAAAGTTGAACGCAGGAGTTGTCAATTGGTTATCTGTAAATTTATGCAGGCTGATTTGGAAAGATCTTGAGTTTTTCAAGTATTTTTGAGACGTTGCGTCTTTGCGTCTAGTTTGGAGAAAGAGTACTCTTCTTTTGTGGCTGAAGCTCTTTATTTATAGGCAAGGAGAGAACTTACAATGATGGAGGCTAAGAAAGGATGTTTGGCTTGTTGCCCAAAGTCAACTTGTTGGTTTGCTGATCTGAATTGGTTCATAGGAGGAAAGATGGAATGTTTGTGACAAGAACTATTGGTCCTACGTGATGATCCTCTGACTTGAACCCTTGGTACTCGAAGATCTGGTTGGCAATTTGGTCCTTTTCTGGTTCTGGTGGCTTTCGCACAGCTCGCTTCCTTGCTAGGCGAGAAGAGAGTCAAGTCATCATTAATGGTGATAACCTCCTTCAGACCCTCGCGTGGGCCTATGTATAACGGTTACCAATCTTTTTAACTTTAGTGTAACTCAAAAGTCTGGACTTCCTGGTTTTGGACCTTAGACTATCTTATTTTATACTAAAGGCCCACGAAGTAACGGGGGCCTTTTGTTTTTTGTTTTTTTTCAAGAAAAAAGACAAAGGCTGTTGGACCTTAAAATATTCTTTTTGAAAAAGTAAACTATTTTTGGTCTATTTTCCAAAACTGGGTACAAATAGAAATACAGAGAAAGAGGAGAAGAGAAGAAAATAAAATAGAATGGGAATCTGGGCAGTGGTTATTAGTGGTGATTGTTGGGATGGGAGTGAGAAACCAACGGAGAAATTTCCATCGCGAGGATCATGGGTTTTCAACGTGTTTTCAGTTTTTTTTTCTTCCTCTTTTATAAATTCTTTTAGTTCTGTTTAATGGCTTTATTTAATAGGCCCCATAATAAATATTATTTTATTGATGTGGGTTTATTTATTAGTATAATAATATGTCTTGATTGCCTTTTTTGGGTCTGAAAAAATATGTCCTGATTTGCTTTTCAAGGTTTTCCTATTTTATATGATAATATGATGGTTTTCCTATCTAATATTGGTTTTCATGTAGCCCAACAAAAGAGGCTCTCTAATGGAACTTTGTATGTAATTTTTTCCCAGTCGCCAGTAATTTTTATTTTTTTTTATTTTTAAGGCAAGCTTCAGTCTTCAGCCACAGCCACTCAACTCTCTATCTTTAGTTATTTGACGACCACGAGGTTTTGATTATATGGTTCGATTCCTTTTATAATTTTTCATTGGATACTTTATTTTTGGAGGTCCTATTATTGTTTTGAGCACAAGGCTTCTAAAATCTCAGAGCCATCATTGTGTAGCGGAGTTGAACTTTTGTTTTGCATTATGACTGAGGCATACATAAAGAAAACCAATCAAGAGATGAAGGTTTGTGACATTACCACTATTATTTTTCCTATCATATGTACTTTTTTTAAAAAAAATAGTTAAATCTATATATTATATATATATACACTTTGGCTAAGGAATATTCTCATCCTCTTTTTTCTTATCTTTTTTTTACCCAATAAATTTCAATTTTCCTCAGGAAGAGGAAGAGGAAGCCGGATGGGGCACAACAAACATCGCTTTTATCCCTAATGTAGATTGCAGAGTAATATATGCGGGTGTTGATTTGAGGAGTACACGTAATAAAATTATATCCAATGAGGATTCAGAAAAATTTTCACATATGGAGAGTTGTAATGTATTTGCAATTAGGGCGGGAAATGTCCAGAATGGTAAGGCAATGTTAGAAGATGTGAAGAAATACTTTAGCAATCATGAAGAAATAGTTTATGGCATCCATTACGCACCAACAAAAGCCAAGGAGTATATTCGACGTTGGGAAGAATTATTTAAAGAGATATTTGACGCGTCTGCTATTTTTGCTAGATGGGGTGTGGATAAAGTTCCTTATTTATATCAAATTACCCGTTTTGGAGACGAGATAAAATCCAAAGAAGAGTATTGCAATGGATTTGTGAGGGGAAGCGGTGGTCCATATGCTCTGAAATACTTGCACAGTTGCATGTCCAATATGAAAGTCCAAAGTTCAAGTGAATTGTTACAAAATGTGATAAGAGCTATATTATATGCAACCCTTTTTGATAAATGCAGCGGTAGAAATGTGCGCGTTTTTGAAGTAAAAGAAAAAGAAGTTACAATTGTATATGACCGACCGGTTTTAGGAGCGCTTTTTGATCATTATGATGCCTTAACTAGCCATCTCTCTAATTCGCTGTTCTTTCTTGTCAACCAAAGTCATTACAAGTATAAAGATGATAATAATATGAAAATGCACGAAAAATTCGAAACACAGTTTGAAGAAGAGAAATATATGGGGAATGTTGTCGTAAAGCTAGGAACAAAATTCGTTGTACTAGTCGTGCATTTTAAGAACCCAATTGATGCATTATATGAGAAGCTCAAAAGTCAAGATAGTCAACGGAAAAGAACAAATCGTCGACGTACTGTTCCTCGTGAAGTTGACGGTCTACCGTTAGTTAAAGTTAAAACTAAACTTGGTGAGTATCCTATTTGGTGTGCTAAGATAGAACGGGAGTTGGTGAGAAATTTACATGAGCGGCATCATTGTCTTTAAATAACTGCAAGAAAATACTAATGTTTTGTTTAGACTGATCGGAGGGAGATCTCATTTATTAATTTATTTAATTTGTTTTCCTTTTTCATTAATCATTGGACATGCGTTAATTGGTTGCGAATTCTTTAGCTTTTCTCAAGTCTTTCTAATAATGTGTTCATGTAACATCATACTCGTTTGGAATTAAGTTTATGCATTTATTGTTCTTACCAGCTAGTCTGCAAACCCCTAAAAAAGTTCCCTTCAGTTGAGCCTGAGGGACCAAAATCCAACAAAGGTTCACTCTTAAACGGGGCCAAAAAGGAAAAGCTTCACTCTTCTTTCAGAATCAAAATCACATTACTTTCTATTGCGCAACCTTTCAATTGTGTATTCTAACCCACAATATAATTGTCGATCATTCATAAATTCATTATCTCAATTCTGTGAGCACCACCCTTTGAGAAACAACTTGATTTCATTACCTTTTTTTTTTTATGAAAGTTAAACTTTTCCGATTAATACTGTCTAATTAGATTAGTATTGTTCCAGTCCACTTAATCGATTTTTCCTGCAGTAGCTTCAAAACCTGTGTAAATGGAAAAGGAAAAGCCAAGTATGAAGCATTGTTCAAACAGATGCAGCAAGTAATTATGCACCAATCTTACCAATACTCGCCTACGAGACCCTTTTGAGATCACTTCCTCTTGTGTTTCAATGATGACCTTAAGACACTTGACTGCTGACAAGAAGACAACACATAATTACAATTAACAAGAAAAAAGTTCAAAGAATAACTACGTAACATGAGAACGTTCACTTACATGAGATTCCAGAAAATGAAGAAATTTGACACTTCAAAAGACGCATCGCCTCCTTGGCACCGCGTTCTTGCAAGCCAAGCACTATTTCACCTTGTGTCTCAACCTTTCTGATGAGGAGAACACAATAAAAGAAAAAAAATTAACATTGTGGGATCCTATACACCACCATTAACCAATGTCCACAGAGAGTAGAAACATACACCACAACGAAAAGGATGCTAACCTTGTTCAAAGAATCATTTCATCTGACTCTTCATCCACTTCGGGTGCTTTATCTTGGAAATTTTCCCTGCCACAGAACAACAGAATCCACAAATTCATTTAAAAAAGGGAAAACAAACTATAAGGCAAATTCTACACTTGAAATTTTGATATCTTATATTTTTACCTTAGATATGTGATCAAGTCCGGCTTGGTATCAGCATTAAGTGAAACTGCCCCTTGTTCAATTTTTGAAGCATGTATTTCATTTTATCCAACTGAAGATTGTGTTAAGTAAAGCTATTTGCAATATAGTCGTAAGATGCTATTTATTTTTTTAAAAAAGAAAATAATTCATATCCAATCACTTCATAACAGCAAGTAAGCCTTACTTGTTCTAGAAGTTTGTTTGCTCGATCATGATCCTCCTTAGCAAATGCCTCTACACCCTGGCAAAGAAAATTGATATCCTTACACTTGAAGGCTGCCAAGAGAAACTACTCTACACATTTTATAGATCAAATAATTGCAAATAAAATACTAAACCCTAAAAAGCCACATACAGCCTGGAAATATTCCTTCATCGTAGTCCGAAACTCCTTCACAGCTTTACAAAGAACCTGGTAGTTATCTTTGTCGTCTTCAATTTAGCACACTTTATTTATGAAAGAAAATACAAACATAAACATGAAATTGACAGATAAATCACGAGCAACCACACATCAAATAGCTAGGGCCTTAATCTTTAGTATAAATCTGGATTTCATGGGAAATGAATAAATTCCTCAGAACAGTTTGCCATTTATCATACAAACTGATCCCAACACTACTCTTAAAAAAATAAATAAATAACTAACCAGGAAAATGAAGTTTCCCCCATATATAGACAAGGTTCTTCGTAAATGAGCCAAGAGTCTTTCTCAGAACGCTGAAAGTTCTGTCATCCTGAGTTTTATCAGTACAAGCTTTCTCATGCTCAGATATCAGACTCCTTTCTTTCTTTCCTGACATGACATCAACCCATCAGAAAATTTTGCCGTATTCGATTTCACTATAAGGAGGAGCAAAGGAGTTTTGTTGCTTACTCAGTTGTTCATATCAAGTGCAGAGCCTTCAATTCTCTTCTTCATAGTTGGAAATGATGCCTGTCGTGTCAAATAGAACAACAATGCTCAACAGAGTCGATGGGTTATATTAGCTAATAATTGCAAGGCCTGTTCTGCAGTTTTGATATGATGCTCTTAAATTTTACTTGTTACTGGAAAATGGAGCCAAACTAAAGGAGCTACATGCATAAGATGACAGTCAACAATGTCATGTTCTGTGTGCAGAGTATAAAAAAGCAGAGGCTTCGTATCCATAAATCTGAAACCGAAAATGTGCAAACAAAAATGCTAGTTGCTGATAAGAAACTTTGCTAAATCACTATATGCACACAAAAAAGCTAGTTGCTGATTAGGTAAATACCTATCTAATTGAATTTATGCGATTAATTACAATTACAATCCATTTCACAGAAACGCTTAATAGTATGAAGAGAAATCAGATGCAATTACAAGATTTGGAAACTGTAAGGAACTACCTTTCAAGGCCTGTAGATGGTTGGCTTTGTCCTTGCAAAACTTCTCATAGAGTCCTCGGAACTCGGCAGTTTCAGTCTTCAAGCAATTCTCACACTGCAGACATATATTATATATAACCAAATTATTAATCAGAATAAAAATTTCGGGCATCAAACAAATTAACTAGAAATTCAAATTTCTCCGCAGGATCATCTATGGTTTTAGCTCTTTTCTTCTCCATCCACAGACCCCATTTGATATAAATTTTTAAAGAAGTTATCAGAATATTTAGGTCTCTTGAAGAGTTTATGACATGCTAGCAGCGAAACTTTGTCTGACAATTGAAGAATACAAAAGGCATCAAATCCAAATGCCTATAGTAGCTGTTTGAACATTTCACAAATTAAATTAAAGATTCATATTGTAAATTCTATCAGAACTAAAACAAATAAGCAAGCAATTGTACCTTCAATTTTCAGAGTTTATTGCAATTTGTAAACGAAATGGAAAACTAAGCAATAAAACTGGACCAGACCGATAGATTCGGATTAATCTCGCAAAGAAAGGGTATTCGAATTTCCGCGATAATCAAACTGGACCAGACCGATAGATTCGGCTCACCTTGAAATGGTCTCTTCGTTCTTCTTAAGCCCGTCCCTGTGAGCTTTCTCTTGGATCTGGTGCAGTGCCGACATAATTTCTTTGATATCACTGCAAAATTCAACCACAATCTCAATCTCATAACTTCGTCCACAAATCTACGAGCAAAAATAAAAAAGATGAAGAAGAAATTATAGGAAAACGAACTTGGAGAGGTCGAGATCGAGGTGATCCGTTAGTCGGTTTTCAAATTTTTTTTTTTAAAAAAAACCTTTAAAAAAAAAGTTAAAATAGTAAAGTCTTTTCTTTCTTTTTTTTTTTTTTTCCTTTTTCTCTCTGATAGACGTTAAAATAGTTAAAACCTTCTAAATGAGGGCGCGGAGTCCGTGTTGCACCAGGATTCCTATAGACGTTAGGATTCCGCAGCCTACTGAAGCCTAAATAATAACCCCCGTTTCTTTTCTCTCACAATTTACCCTAAATCCAAAGCGCCATTTTTATATTTACCCTAAATCCAAAGCGGCGTTTTTCCCTTTCGAGCACGCACAGCACAGTCATGGACAGCGGTCTCGTGTCTCCACCTTTGCAAATCCACCGGCCAGAGCCAAACAGTATGTTTTTTCTCTTTCGTTTAATTTAAGGGTTTGTGACAAAAATTATGTGCAATTTTTTTTTTTTTTTGTCGTAATCGAAAATAATCATAGAAACCCCATAAACCTGAGGAACAGATTACAAGGAGAAAGCAAAAAGATGCAAAACAAACAAAACAGATTCGGGAAAATTTCTATCTAGACACAACACAGGTTTAGCGGAAAGAGATTTCCCGGCAAAACAAATAAATTAGAGCGGTGGGCATGATAGCATCATTGGATAACTATCCATAAATGCTATGTTATGCCAAAATTTTGAAACAGTTTTTGAAGATTTTCTTTCCAGCCAATTTATTTTGGTGTGTGTATGATGCATTAATAATATCGTTATTTGTTGATGGGATCATAGATGTCATTCCTTCTAACTTCTTTGCCATCATCACTGTTTTTCTTTTTGTATTTATCAATATAATTGCATGGAAACAGGGAGCAAGACTGTTGAATCGGAGGCTGTTGAACTTATTGGCTATATTCGTTTTTTTTTTTTATCTCTTATGACATAACATCTATATCATGCCAAAATTTTGAATCAGTTTTTGGAAATGATTTTTTCCAACCAAGTTAGTTTGGTGTGTACATGATATAGCCGATTTTTAATAATATGGTTATTTGTTGATGGAATCATAGATGTCATTCCTTCTAACTTCTTTGACATCATCACTTTTTTTTTTTATAGTATTTATCAATGTAATTGCATGTAAACAGGGAGCAAGGCTGTTGAATCAGAGATTGTTGAATCACAGGCTGTTGAATCAGAGACTGTTGAACTTATTGGTAAGCTTTTGATTTTAGGGTCAAATGAAAAAAGCAAAAAATGCGCCTATAGCTTCTCTATTTACGTATATTCGTTTTTTTAATCTCTTATGACATAACATCTATATTATGCCAAAATTTTGAATCAGTTTTTGAAGATTTTTTTTCCAGCCAAGTTATTTTGGTGTGTGCATGATGCATAGCCGATATATTATTATTTAATAATATCGCTATTTGTTGATGGGATCATAGATGTCATTCCTTCTAACTTTTTTAACATCATCACCTTTTTTCTTTGTGTATTTAACAATGTAATTGCATGGAAACAGGGGGCAAGGATGATGAATCGGATACTGATGTATCATTATTTGATGAATCGGATACTGATGAATCAGATACTGAAAAACTTATTGGTAAGCTTTTGATTATAGGGACCAAAAAAAAAAATGCGCCTACAGTTTCTCTATTTACATATATATATATATATATATTTTAATCTCTTATAACATCTATGTATTTGTTGTTATTCTATGTAATGTGCTCATAATACTGATTTTTGAGTTTTATCATCTTCATTCATTCATTGTTTTTTTTTAAATATATAATAATAACTAATTCTTTTTATTGCTTTTATTGTATTTAACAATGGATCAACATATTTCATACAGGTCGTGAATGTGAGTATTGTTTAAAGGTGGGTGTTCACTTTACCCAAACATGCCCTTACAAGTATCATGTCCCAAAGAACGCAATTGTTAGCAAGAGGTGTGTGGTAGTTTGTAATTTTTGTGGTTGCCTCTTTAGAGACTCATGTTGTGGCAGTTGTGGTATAAGCGATGGATGTGCAGTTCTCATGGATTGTTTACATTGTGGGAAGATAGGTGAACACTTGACTTTTACATGTCCGAGCCGCGAGGGGAAACCTTCTTATTTTTTCTGTGACCCTTATACTGGTTCTTGTCGTTTATATTGAAATGGCAGAGAATGGAGAGTTAATGGTACTCTAAAAGTTAAAGCAAAGATTAAATGTTAATTTCAATTTCAACAAATTTTTAGAATTTTTATTTTAAATATTTTTGAATAATTGTAATCTTCGTAGACATGTAGAGTAACTTCATGAGTAGATCTGGACGAGATTGACTCCTACATGTGGCCCTATATCCCTATGTTGGATGAGATTGACTGTATACAATAAAAGAAAAAGAAAAAGGAGTGGTCTTTTATGTCGTTTGCCATCGATGTCATACTTTTGTTTAGCCATGCATCCTATCATCATTTGATGTCTACATTGCGTTTTCTTTTTGTCGCAAATGAATTGCAGTTTGCAATACATGGTCTATACACTATAATAAAATCGTACACATATAAAAGAGGGAAGGCGGAACCAAGTGATATGGCAGTGTCATGCTTGCATATGAATCATGATATGAGGGCGAAGTGATGCTTTGATAACCTCTGGAAGTAGTTGGATATAATTGCCCGCAATGTAATCAATGTTACGGTAGAAACTGGTGTTAGGCATCTGATTGTTAGTGGCATGGTTTTTTCTAATAAGTGTAGTTTTTGTATCGAGAATTTTGTTGACAAGACGGAGGAGACCCGCCTCGAGGGGTCTCCAAGGACTCCCTAATAATTCTCCTATGGAACGTTTGTGAGCTTGGCAAACGATAAACATTTCTTCTATGAAGATCTTTCTTCGGAAATTTCTTTAGGTTAAGAGGCAAATCTTGGTCTCCCTTGCTTGTCACTGGGGTTCTAGATCAAGAAAATTGGAGGTGGCGGTTGGTGTTGTTATGATGCTCACAATGCGTTTTTGACTCAGTACAAAGAACTATGATACTTTATTTAGATCACAGGAAGCTTTTTTTGACAATACCTGCTTTGTGATAGGATGTGATTCAATGGTTTTGCGGTTGGGTGATTGGTTGGATCTATTATGATACCCATAGTACGTTTTTTACTCTATACGAAGAACTATGATGCTTTCTCTAAATCATAGGAGGACTTCTTTGACAGTACCTATGTAGTGATAGGATGTTGTTTTAAGGGTTTTGTGGTTGGGTTTTAGGTTTGTCTATTTCGTATAAGTTGTTTGACTCTTTTGTTTAGTCAATAGCATGGGTGGCACTCTTTTTTACTCCGGGATTTTGTTTTCTCTGGAAAGTTTTTAACGAGACCGCCGTTAACACGTTTTCTTACCATGTAATATTCATTTCGGTTTAATGAAATATAAATTTTTTTTTTAAGTATAATTTATTTGAGCTGATCTCAAATTTCACAAAACTTACGAGGCATGTTAAAACAATAGAGAAATGAAAGATTATCACCCAAATAAATAAGCCCAATAAGAAATGCTTACTTGACTTGAGATTAGATTTTTACACTAGAAGGAGCGTCTATGACTCATCATGATACTATCTAAAATGCGACAAGGGGTGTTTCCAACTTGATGGCATTGGCAGATAGTAAGACTGGGTTATGATGCATTGCTAATTTGCTACCATACCAGCATAAAATTTGATAACAATGTAAAAGGAGAAAGAGAGACTGCAGTTCCATTGAACTTCATTCAAAGAAGGCTTTTTATCACAAAACGTCCTTAACGTTTGCAAAACTATCAAATTGCATCCTTAAAGTTTTTTTGTATCACTCATGGTTCCTAACGTTAATATAGGTGCTCTTAAATAGTCCATCTGTTAAAAAAACTGTTAAATCCAGGGATATAATCGTCAAATCAATCCAAAATTATAAAATATATATTTTTTATTTCTTTCCCTTCTCTCTTTCTTTTTTTTTTTTTTCTCTTTCTTTTCTTCTTCTTCTTTCTCTCCGCCAGATTCCTTATCTCTTATCTCTCTGTTTCAGTCCATCGTTAAGCTCGAATGGACCTTCTCTGAGTCGGTGGTAAGACTGCAATTAAAGTTCATATCAAATATCAAACACTGATTGGTTACTAAGAAACTGAATGGAAAAACAATATAAAAACTCAAGTTTGTCATGTTTCTTTCATTGCTGGTTTCCAGTGAACGAAAAGAAACAAAATTCCAAACTCAAAATTTTGTTGGCATCAAAGAGATAACAAAAAGTAGCAAAATTCGAAGCAAACCTCGTGTATATGCCATAAAGAAGCGTGCCAGAGAGCTTGATGAGCCCATCTTGCCCAAAACTCCATTCCCATTTAAAATATACATATATAAAATCCAAATTGATTTAGGGGATGTATTCAATTGAGATTTTAATTGATTGTTTTGAAGCTTAAAAATCTAATGGTATTCAATTAGAATTTGTAAGTAATCAATAAAAATCTAGTGGTATTCAATTAGAATTTTTAAATCATAAATACAAGTCTGGTGGTATGCGATTAGGACTTTTAAAAGATAAGACAAAATACCGTGGTATTCAAAAACTTACCGATTTTGAAGTATTTCATTAAATGATGTATTGTGTGGGACTTTTGAGTGGGTGATATAAATACCAAACCCCATAAAAAATATCAATCTCATATGCCTGATTCTCACGTTCTTTGTTTTTCTTTTGGGAGAAGATAAATAGACACATCTGAAAAGAGCTCCCATTTCATGGTTGTTCTCTATAGTAGCGATGTTCGTATACGTTTTGCATCTGTTCATGGTTAATCTCTATCTATTAACTACCGCTAGTTGTATACATTTTGCGTCTTCATGGTTGTTCTCTATTAGCGATGTTCTCCCAGCCACTCACTCCATTAACACTTCAGTTTTTAAATCCTATCAAAACAAGATTATTTTGCTGAAAGACATGTAACGTATTGTATAATTTATTTGCTGACTTTAAACGAAAAGCATGTTATCCAACCAAGAGTATATCAAAAGGCAGGGACAATTATGGCAAAGATGAATGAGAGGCAAACAGAAATAATTTAGAAACACACAACACCTCAAGCATCAACACCTGGACTAGACCAGGAGAGATAATTATGTATGATGTATGATATAGTAGTAAACTTCTTTGGTTGTGGTGTTTTGGTTGAACTTTGTCTATTAAGTAGCCTCAATTGAATTTCATTTTTGGTATTTTTGTGGAACTATGTATTTTGGTTGTGGCATTTTAGTTGAATTATGTATTTTGGTAGTGGCATTTTAATTGAATTATGTATTAGGTTTAGTTCACTATGTGATAAATCCGTTGATGTATGGAATAACATTGTTAGTGAAATAATGGGTGAGATGAATCTGTGTTTTGAGTAATTTGTGCACAAATGATTTTCTAATGAAGTTAGATAATAACTGTATTATCAATTCATGAAGGTTTATAAGTCGCATGCATGAATTCGATAAGCTTGTATGGTTTAAGCCTCCTTAGTTAGATAATGCACACAAGATTATTATGTAATATTATTATGGCAGAGAGGAATTACTTTTGATTACAGAAAGGAAGGACTAATTTTATGTTGTATTATTTGCTTCAACTCGTTTGAGTGTGTTACATACGATTCTCTCCTTGTATTTTGCTTGTGAAAGTTAATGGTAGTTTTGCATTTGTAGTTGAGTGCTTAGGTGAGTGGTGTTCTTGCATGTTATGTCTAGGCTCTCGGTATCTTTAACGTATTCATTTTGGCTATGTGTGGCTATGTTAGGAGTTACATTGTTTGATGTCGGTGTACTCTCCCTGGACTAACCTTTGATCGTTACTGTGCCTCCATCTTTGTATTAACCCTAAAAATTGGGTGTCTGTATCCTAAAAATTGGGTATATTCCTTCAGGTTATGTATTTAGGTGAATGATGATGGGTGATAGAGTTCAAGCTTGTACAGAAATATGAGTAAAATCATGTAATTACAATCTATTAAAATCATAAGTAAAATCCTAAGTGAATTAAAATTATAAGTAAAATCATGTAATTGCAATATATTAAAATCATGAGTAAAATCAAATAATTACAAATCCGGTTGAAATCCATTACATTAAAATCATGTAATTACAATATATTAAAATCTCAATTGAATACACTCCCCTTAGTAGTTTTCAGTGTAAAGAAAAAACTTCAAAATAAATTTAATTTAATTAAGTTTCCCCAATTGAGAAGCCGTTAGTGAACTTACAGCAGCACCAACAGATAGAGCAAATGTACCCAACATTTCAGACAAAGGCACATTCCCACCCTACACAGAAACCAAAATCACCCAATTCAAAAACTCAACCAGAGAAGATAAAGTTCGTAACTTTTGTGGTTTTGGGAGCAGAGAGAAATTGGGTACCTCCATTTGCCAGTAAAATCTGTAATAAACAGCCCATGACAGCCATGGAAGTAATACCAAAGCTGGACATCACCGTAGCAACAAGATAAGTGAACCTCTCCGATTTCTTCCTAGACAACTTCTCAGCCACATGTACGGACGGAATTACAATTGGGATATGAGAATTAGCAGCCTCTTGGGCTTTTTCTGTGCAATTCTCGAGATGGGTACTCTGCTTTTGGTCCTCCATGACGACATAGACAGTGAAACAGAGCTTCCTTCGAGCCCTATAATGAAGTGCTGATTTTTGGTGGCGAAGATTCGAAGGTGGGAAGAAGATAGTTGGGTTGGGTTTTGCGAGGAGGTATGAGGATTGTAAAAGACAGAGGGTTTGGGGTTTTGGGGCGGCGAAGTGCCCAGCCGCCATGGAAGAACTTCAGAGCGAGGAAGAGAGAGAGAGATTGAATTGAGGGTGGGTTGAATTGAAGTGAACAGACACCACAACTTTCTGTCTGCAAACTTTAGAGAGATTATGAGAAGCAAACCATCCTTAAGGAATCCGGCGGAGAGAGAAGAAGAAGAATAAGAAGACAAGAAAGAGAGAAGGGAGGGAAATAAAAAAAAAAATATTTTTTATAATTTTGGATTGATTTGATGACTATATCCCTAAATTTAATAGTTTTTTTTGACAGATGGACTATTTAAAAGCACCTATATTAACGTTAGGGACCATGAGTGATACAAAAAAATTTTAAGGATGCAAATCTGATAGTTTCGCAAACAGCTGGGACGTTTTGTGATAAAAAGCCTTCAAAGAAAGAAACAGTGCATGACCCCAATATAATGTGTGATCTAAACTAACATGAAATATAGAATATGTACAATACGTTGATTAGGGTCATTCAATCCATTCTTTTCTTGTAAAATGTGTTATGCAATTTCGAAGGTGCCTCTTCTTATGATATAATATCGTATTTGTTGTAATTCTATGTCATGTACTCACAATACTGATTTTTGGGTTTTTTCATCTTCATTCATTCATTGTCATGTGCTCACAATTATTATTTTTCTTACTTTTGTTGTATTTAACAATGAATCTACAAATTGCACACAAATAAATGTAGGTACTGTTTAAAGGTGAGTGAGCATATTGCACAACTATGCCCTTATAAAGTATCATGTGCCAATGAGCGCAACTCTTGGCAAGGGTTGTGTGGTTGTTTGTAATATATGCAGCTCCCGCTTTAGAGACTCATATTGTGCCGGATGTCGCCTAAGCAATGGACGTGAAATTCTCTTGGAATGTTCAATATGCAAGGAGCAAGGTGAACACCCTTCTAGGTGCCCGAGCCTCGAGGGAAAACATTAGGGGTGGGCATATAAACCGGAAAATCGAACCGAATCGGATGAAAAAAAACCGGAAAAAACTGAGTTGACTAAAAAGTCAACAAAACCGGACCGGACTGGACCGGTTCAAACCGGTTCCGGTTCCGGTTTTACACGAGA